TGAACTCACAATCCTCCTGCCTCAGCCTCCCAAGTCTCTGGGATGACATGCGTGGGCCACCGTACCCAGCTTCATTCTGTTTCTATAGATTTTTCTACTCTGGATATTTTACCTATCTTTTTATTTGCAGTAGGTCTATAGGCTTATATAATTATAGGTTATTGTCTTTAAAATAAAATATATTAGGGAGTGAGGAACCAGAAGTGGCTACCAGCAAGCAAAAAGTCCCCCCTTGTTTTTCTATAAGACACCATCCTATCCTGTGGCACAGAAAGTTCTTCCCATTCTTACAGAAGAGCTTCTGCCGGTGTGCTGTTCCAGCAGAGAGGGGGRCTGACCTGAGGACATTGGGTTCAACATGACCCAAGAGACAGGTGAGAATCAAGGGCATTCAATTAACTCTRGGCCAGTAGGGAGAGTCACTGAGCTCTGCTTGCTCATATGGAATTGGAGGTGTGGGTYTTGCCTTGATATGCTCTTCAGAATCAGCTGGGAACTTTGACAAAACAGCCCAGATGTCTAGGTGCCATCTCCAGAGATTCTGATTCAGCTGGTAAGGGGACCGGTCAGTCACTTAGAAGACACAGAACTACTGAACTTGTCTGGCAGATCTGATGGTCTACACTGAGAGCACAGGAGGACACAGGAAGGGACAGAGAGGACTAAAGAGGGGCAAAGGCAGCTGCAGGTGGCCCACAGAAGAGGACAGGAGCCGGTCTCCTACCTCAGACCTCACAGCACCAGCTCAGGCCACTGGTAGGACTGGTTTTCCCCCCTCSTTCTCCTTGGGTGAATGGATCAGGGATGGTTCCGTACCCTCCGCTGAGAGGAAGGCAGCTCTACTGCGTCAAGGAGCAAAGACAGGGCAAGAAAGCCCCGGCCACTCAGTAGTACAGGATCTGCAGGGGCTACCCAAGGCCTCGGTGGTTTTCTTGCCGTGTGTCCTGTATGTCCAACTGTCCTGCAGCTCACAAGGCCCAAATCCTGACAGTGTCACTGGCATGTAGTCACAAGCTGGAAGGCTCCAGGTTGCCGTGGGACCCCAGTGGAACAGCGTGCCCTGCAGGGGTGGCCATGAGCACACGAGGCAGAGCAGGTGCCCATGGGCACTGATGAAAGCAGCAGAGGCAGACAGACAAACAGAAACACAGACAGACCGACCCAGGGCAGGGCAATGTACCCATCTCTGTGCTCTTCTGGTGAACAACCAGCTCAGCCCCTTGTCCTTAGAGTGGAGCTGGGGGAGACACCCAGGAGGAGAAAACTATTTCTGGCTCCTTGATGAGGAACCAAGAAGGAAGGCTTGCTTAAAATAAACACAACCTTGTGGACAGGTCCTGGGTTCAAACCCCAGCTCCACCACTTAGCAGAGGGCAATTTATTTTATGCCCATAAGCCTTATTCTTCTTTTAAAAATAGAAGAGACCATGATACCTACCTCAAGCCTTATTCTTCTTTTAAAAATAGAAGAGACCATGATACCTACCTCATAGCATAGCTGTGGAGATTAAATGCAATAGTATAAAAGAAACACCAGACATGGTGCATGACGCAAAGTACCCAAAATAAATTATGATAAAACGCTATATAAATGTGGTAAAAAGCCAGGCACAGTGGTGCATGCCTGTAATCCCAGCAGCTCAGGAGGCTGAGGCAGGAGGAACATGAGTTCAAAGCCAGCCTCAGCAAAAAGAGCCGCTAAGCAACTCAGTGAGACCCTGTCTCTAAATGAAATACAAAAATWGGGCCGGGAATGTGGCACAGTGGTTGAGTGTCCCTGAGTTCAATCCCTGGTACCCCCGCCCAAAATATGATATAAAGATTATTAATCATATAGAAATACTCTAAGAATTATTACCAACATATTACAAATTATATATTATCACACACACCCAAAGGTCCTGTTTGAGCACTTTTCAGGAAAAAGCAATAAAATGAAGAATACCGAAAAAATTCTTCTGTCATTCACCATGTTCTTAGTGTTTATATGCTATTATTATTATTATTTATGAAAAAACACAAAAAGAACACTGGAGTCAGAAGACCTATGTCCAAGTCCCTCCAAGCAAGTCACTTCTCCTCACTGGCTCTTGATTTTCCTATCTGGGAGATGGGACTTCCCAGATGCTTAAAATTGGCCTGGGAGCTTGATAGAAATGCAGGATCCCAGGCCCCTCCCCATATGGGCTCAGACTGCATTTTAGTAAGAGTCCCAAGGGATTCATATGCACATGACAGTCGGAAAAGATTGGTCCTGGCCTTGCATTCCCAAACTTGGCTGCCCATTAGAATCTTCTGGGGAGCTTTAAAGAAGAACAAATACACAATGCTTGGATCCCAGACCCAAGATCAGACATTAGCTGCAAATTACAGCTGTGGGAGAGAGAGTACCTGGGCTACAGACTTTTGCTGCAGAGGTGAGGCTTGGTGGCTGAGGAAAYTCGTTCAGAAAGGGAGGGGGACTGTGCAGGGGGCCTTCCCATGAGCAGAGAGAGCCTCGAAGCAAGGTCTGGGGAAGAGGAGGAAAATCATTGTTTTAGGAGGACGGGCAGGAGAAGGGGTCATTTTAGACAATGAAAACAATCCCATTAGAAACATGATTGGAGAAACAGATGTCTGGATTCCTCCAGAGGTCCCAATATGAAGACCAAGGGGGACAGGGCCAACTGCCTTTCAGAAGCCCTGYAACAGCCAAGCGAGGGGGACTCTATTTTATCTTGTTTGGTTTTCCTTACCTTCTTTGTTGGCTTCACTGAGTAGGCATTGAAATCATATTTACTCAACATTTCTAGCTCTGAGGACTTTTAGGAACGGATTTAAGAGCTGTGTGGACCTTTAATTGGAATCTCCGGATCATTCGTTTGCAGAACTCGGATGGGAGCTGGTAGAAAACCAACAGCCTGAGCATGCCCCAGGTTCAGGGTGAGGCTGGAGATTTTCACCTGCATCTATCTGGGTGGCCTGGGCCCCCTCACACCCACTTCCCCTAAGAGGTGTCAAAGCCAGAGTAAAAATGACAGTGCCTCTCTCAAGGGACATATTGGGTTTGTGTTTTATTTTGTTTTGTTGGTGGTGCTAAACTCTGCCAGGTACCAATCTAAGGTCCTCATTAAACTAACTCAGGCAGTCCTCCTCGTGATCCTAGAGAGGAGGGGTATTGCCATCTTCCATGTGAGAAGATGGAAGGATGTAGAAATTCACCTGCCCAGTTCACCTAGCTGGCAGTAATGAAGCTGGACTGGAAATCAGACTACCAGACCTGGGACCTCAACCGACTCCCAGCTCCCCGAGCCTGTAAAGGTCAGAGTGAGGAGTGACAAGTGTTTCCTTTCAGATACACTTTCCCAGAGAAACTCATACTATAATATGGGTTTGTAATGCACAAATAAATAACAAGAAATCTTACTTTGAGCATATCATCTCAGGCACTGCACAAGGCACACTATACATATTATCACATTCATCCTTCTCTGAGACAGACAGAGGTGATCATTCTGTTTCACAGTGAGGAAACTCAGGATTTTAAATGGGTCAGGGAAAGACCTAGGACATAAACCCAGGTCAGATTGCCTTCAAAGCCTAGGTGCTTCTAAATCACTAGGGTTTTCTGCTTTCTGTGCCCCRAGTAGAGGAGGGTGGGTCAAAGCACACTCTTCCAAAGCCACCTGAGAAGAGGGAGGGAAGTCATGCAGGGGCACGACCAGGCAGCCCTGGAGGGTGAGGCAAGGAGGAATGTGAGGGGGACGTCCCCTGCAGGTTGTTGTTCCCAGGAGCAGGGACTATTATTGCACCTTGGGCCTCTTGGGCAGCAGCTGGAACAGTGCTGACAAGCTGAGTCTGGGCCTACTTTAGCCTGAGCCCTGAGGCCAATATTGCATTAGAAATATGGGCTAATACACAAAGCAATRAATAAACACCCAGGAGAGTGGATTCACCACCACCTCACCTGACCCAGCCTCCCAAATCAGGAGACCATGTGTGCTCCTTTACCTTTGTGGTTGGTTKGTTTGTCTGGGAGAGAGAAAAGTCGAATCTTGTTTTGGCACTGCAACTCAGCCACACCTGGAGGGGCCCGACTGAAGCTGCCTCTGAAATTTTCCCAGTGAGACGCCAACAGGCCTTAAGTTCCACGCGTGAAATCCCATGAGACCTG